TGAGTGGCCTCTGCACAGCCTTTCAACTAATCCTCCCATCTTCAAGGCCACCCCACACTCCAACGTTCAGAGGTACGTGCTGGCTCCAAGTTCTGATGCTTTCTGGGCTTCCGCAGAGTGAAGCGGCTCGCGTCTTGTTGGCTTCCCCCTCTAGAGACATGGGTTCTAGCTCTCTCCACCCAGACATCTATTTTCCATCCTGTGCTGCTGCCACCTGCTGTTGTCATGTCTCCGGTTCTCTCTGTCCTCCTGGGGTTTGTACCTTTGGCCCTTATATCTTCTTTGACCCTTTGTCCTTCTTTTACTGGGATTTTGGTAAGAAGCGAAACCAGTCTCATGCATTAATTCATCTTGGAGCGCCGACTCTATCCAAAGATAGAGTTAAGTGATTCTCTGATCCTTTAATCATTCTTTTATCCCTTTTTTTTTTTTTTTTTACCACATTGCAGTGTAATTTATTTGGTTATAGCTCTACTTGACTGCAAGCTTCCTGGGTCTGCACTTGTATTTAATTTTATATCCTAGCAATGCTGGGCACTCAACAAATGCTAAATAAATAAATAAATAAATAGATAAATAAATAAATAAGTGAGCAAGTGGGTAGAAATATTACGGAGAGATGTTATAGACGGTACCTCTGGCCTAAACTTGTAAAGAAACAGAAAATAAAAAAAAGGTATTTTTAGAATGTTATAAGGACAGACAGAAGACCATTGCACACGGAAAAATTAAGAAAGCTCCAAATTTGACTTGCTCTTTACTGTTCTCAGGACTCAGGTTAAAGATGATGTATATTTTGCCGTGTGTTTTTTGGTCCTGTCCTAATTTGTCTTTTGAGTAAGGCTAAACACTATAATCCTTTGCTGACAAAGGATTGATTTCCTGCTTTTCTTCAAGCTGACAGGTTTAGGCACAAACCATTTTTTCAATTCCTTTTTTGGGCCTGACAAAAACTCTTTCCAAACGGGATTATAAACAAACCTCAGATTTTAACACGAGGATAGATGATGAATTATGTAACTCATTAGGTCATTATTTAATGTTTGGTGTTTGGGTAACAGAGTTCCTTTTAAATTTGGCTTTGTTGCCATATAAGCCTTAAAGAATTCAGTAGTCCAGTATTACCTGAATTCTAAGCTTTTGCCTTTTTTTCCCTCAAGTTTTTATTTGTTTACTGATTACTCTGTGCCAGGAATTACTGTATCTTCGGAGTCACCGACGAGAGCGAAGAAGGATGTATAAGAGTGGACTACTCTCCTCAAAAGGAACGAAGAATGGCAGACCCCCACAGAGAACCCGTACGGTGAAGAACTAAATTTGCTCCTAGAGTGGCGATGAAGTAACCTAGTGGTTTCCACAACTGAAAGTTGGCCTTAACGTCTCACCGAGATCTTAAAACATCCTGACTGTTGGGCTGGTGGTTACAGAAAAGACCAGACTTAGTGACCTAAGAACAGTGAGCAGCACTTACTCACATCCCTAGAATGTTTTCTTTGAAACGGGGAAAGGATAAGTGGTGCTTAAAACAAACTAGTTACCTTTTCTATGTATTTTTTATGCTTCTCTCTATTTTCAAATAGTCACTGTGTCTGCCATGTAGCAGGCACTGTCTTAGCTGTAAGGGGTGAAGAGGTCCCAGTCCCATACTATGCTTCAGAGGAGTCTATCAATTTTTAAAGTACACAGTTAATGAAGTGCTATTCAAAGGCCTCAGAGAGTTTCTGCTAATAACATATGTAAGATTTAGTTTCTGATTAGTTTACTGTGATTAGAAAACAACATTTGAAAACTGTAACCTTTTAGCTTTTTTGCTCCCACAAGAATAGTCACCAGGAGTGTTTTAGAGGAGATGATTTGATTTCTGAGGAAAATTGTGGTGTAACTTTCACAGCCTTCTTGAGAGGAATCCAATGTAACTAAATAAAAATATACAAAAAGTATGCTTTATAGAGAACACTATGAAGCATAGTTAGAAGAATTTTGGCTATACTTAACCCATGCTTCTGAAAATCTGGAGTCTGAAAGGAATAAAAACAGATTCTTTATAATAGGCTCTCAGAACAACAGATATAGTGATGTTTTAAGTTTACTATTATTGTTGTTTACCATAAAAAACCACGTTTCTATCAAAGCATGTAAAATTAATGATCACATGGTATATGCAGAGCTTAGTACATACTCTCTTATAAGCTGTATGAATTAAAAAAACTATCCATGAATTCACTAAATGAAAATAAAAATTCAAAGCAACGATGGCTTCAGAGCTAATAATTCTAGAAGCCTGAAATGTAGCACAGACTTAAAGGATTGCGAGAAAGCATGGGACTGGCAGAGCTTATCTGAACATAAACGGTTCTTCTGATACCAGCCCAAGGACCAGGGAAAGGTGGGGTCAGTAAGTGGTGGATGACACGGCAGGTGGTTTGCCTGGCCTTCACTGCTGACCTAAACGAGCGTCTCATGGCCAACAGGAACCACCGAGACAGGCGTGGGTCATTCCAGTAGGCCTGGGAGCTGCCTCTAACTACTGTAAACCGGGCCTTTTAATTTCTATTATGTAAAGTAAGCCCATTTGGCCACTAGGTGGAGATCAGGTTACTCTGCCGGTGACAGGAAAAGCTGTGGGCAGTTGGCGGGTGAGAAGTATGGAGGTCCGATTCCTTTCTCAATACTTCTAATCAAGCTCCAAAATTAGAGGCAGATCTATGCTGACTAAAGGGTCCATAAATGAATAGCTTGAAGGACTGAATAGGAAGGGAAGTGTAAAAGACAAATTTTTGCGTGATATTACCATTGCCCCTGGAATAATTCCTATGTAGATTTGGTTGTGTAAACTACTTGTAAATAATAACGTGAAGGGGTCTAAATAAGAGCGATTGAATGTGCTGTCTCATTATTTACCAAGCAGCGAGGAGGAAGAGGAGAGATACGACCAAAAATTAAAACAATGGCAGGCTGTTTAGACAATGAATCCGGTCTCTCTAGACATAAAGACATGCCTACAATTCATTCTCCGTTTAAATCTGTGAGTGTTATGTTTCAATATCAACCAAAATGGATCAGGGAACAGCACAGGTAGAAAGAGAATGTTAGATAACATCCATTCTGATTTTCCAAATGGAACTATCATTTAATTCTGAATTATATTAACTTTATTACTGAATAAATCTTATTTCTGCTATGGATGAACAGCAAATTGGAAACATAAAGGTATAGATTTCCTGGAAAATGTCTGGTTTTGGGAATGATCAGATATTTCCCTGTATAATATAGCCAAATATTTTGCTTATTTCTGAAATGTTAGATACTATAATTCTGTTCATTTCTAACTTAATAATCATATATATTCATTCAACAGATACTTATTCGGTTACATAAAAACAAATGAATAATTTGTGACAGTTTAAAAGAATTCCATTCGCTATCAAGTAGCCTTAAGGACCAGTATAATTTAGCATGTATGAACGTGAGCAGACACAAGCATATTGATTGGCCGTCGTGCACCAATCACTGTGGTAGGAGCTGGGGATACAAAGATGCACACCAGAGCCCGGGAAGACACCGAGAAGAGGAAAGCTGCACGGCTAGAACACAAACAGGGGCTAATTTTTGTAGCAGTCGAGACCAGTTATCAAAATCATGAGTAAAAGTCCTTTCGAAAGTTCTGTTGTAAAAGATAAACTTGACAGGCCACATACCCTGACCGTGGGAAACACATGCCCTTCGATGTCTAGAGCATGTGAGAAATTAAAAGAAAATACAATTAAAATACAATTAAAAATTCAAAGGCAATAGCATGTGCTATTAGGGATCGATATCTGTAATGAAAACAGCAGCTTAATTAAAAAGGAGAAGAAACTAATGTTTAGAATAATAAAAGAAATAGAAACATAGTTAATTAATTTTCTAATCATTATTATGGATAGTGACCAACATTCTGTCTGCTGCTGTGATAAATCCACTGCACTTAATGACATGTTTATTTTAGAGTCATACATTTGTTTTAGCTTAATTAAATTAAATTAATATATTCATGCCATTTCAAAAAGGAGTTAAGGTTGCTTGCCTACATTAGTTTCTGATATTCAAAATATTCCTACAAGCTTTTAAGAATCTAAGTGAAATATGTATTATTTATTCACATATATATTTCTCCTTTAAGGAAATCACAAAAATAAACACATAAAATAGTCATTATTAATAAGGTAGCAATGGAATCGTTTGTGGGAATTTCTTATCTTGTTAATTGGCTCTTTGCAGAGCGACACAGCTGGCAGAAACCTAACTCTCTTTTTTTGCGGGTAAAAATGAAATGTGAACAAGGAAGCTTTCTTCTGAGAATTAAAATAAATAATTACGAATAAATCCTACCATGATAGCTTTAGTATTTACGGGCACATGACCTTTCTCACTGCCCACAGGAGTTCCAGACAGCAGCCAGACTGGGCGGTGACAGTCATTTCTGCCGTCGAGGAGTCTCTCGCCTTGGCGACCTGTCCCTGTTCTTTCTCACCAGCACACGGTTTGGTCTAGTTATTACGCCCGCCAGACATTGCATTCGCTGGAAATGAGGAGGCTGGCGAAAACACGTCTCCATTGGATGCATCATTTTGCTGATCTTTTCTAGTCTAAAGGTTTTGGCCCTGCAGTAAAGTGCTCCGCTTTAGACCCTCCGCATCGCCCCTCTCCTGGGTAGCCGTCAACCATGGCAGTAAAAGTGGTGCCGGAAGCTGATGAACGCTTCCGAGTGAAAAATAAAAGCTGGTCGTATTAACACGTGATGTGGGGAACCTGCATAGTTAAGCACTGACGGGGAAGAAAGAGAATATTTTTACTTTTTCACTATCTAGATGGAGAAGATTTGTCTTCTTCTGAGTGCAAAATTCATTTAAGTGATTTCAGTACTACGCTTGAGCCCTGGGCTAGAAGCTTTGGTGACTGTGGCATCTGGAGCCAAACACGCACCCGTAAGAGGCAAGGTCGACTGGAGGGGGAGGTACCTGCATGTGGCCGTCACCTTGTCCGATCATGTTTCTCCATTCCGTGAGCGAGCGCTGCAGATGTGCGAGCCCCGTTTCCCAAAGCCGGATGCGACCTCCCGTGTCGACGGTGACCACGCCGCCCTTGCCCCACTCAGCCAGCAGTGCGTCCGTGTCCGAAATAGCAGCCAGCCAGGTGGTGTACGGGGAAAGAGACTCCGATCTGAAAAAGAAACCGCAGTACCAACCCGTTGGTGGTCCAGGTAACCAGGCTAGTTTAATCTGATTTAGGTTCATTAAACTTGCTATAAAGAATGCTAATAGCACATTAAAAGATAAGATAGGCACAGATCCCTCTGTAAGGGACAAAATACACATTTATCTCCTAATAGCACATTAAAAGATAAGATCCCTCTGTAAGGGACAAAATACACATTTATCTATCGGTTATTTACATTTTTCTGTATTTGTGGACCCTAGATGACATTAGTACCCACTGTCAGAAAGAAAGAAGCTCGAAACCAGCTCACACTTCACTAATGTGAAGCGCTGGACTCACGCTTTAGGGGTCTAAGGCCAGTGCCGAAGCTGATGTTTTCTTTATGTGTTTCAACTGCGTTTGTACTTGATAGTTTGCCCTTTCTAACTTAGAAGGTTATGTAGATTTATAATAAGGAATTTACATATTTCTTGTGATATATTTCATACATAGACATATTTCTTTTATTTTTCTGATACATATGTAGTCATTTCTAGGAAAGCAACATCTGCCTGTAAGAATCAATTACATATATATTTATTTTATCTTAATGTAAATCTTACTATATAAAAAACATAGATTAGAAATTCTAAATACCAGCATTGGCTCTCTAAATACATCTGATATTTTCTGTATGAAATAAATGGTCTAAAGGGATGCTCTGATCAGATAATAAAAACATAAACTATCAATGTTGATTTGGTAAAACCACAAAACCACTATGGATTAGGTAAATTTTTATAATATACTAAAATAAACCAAGATTAGTTTCATCTTTTTTTTCCAATCTGCATTAGTAGATATGAAAACACGGTGTAACAAAGCCAGCTACTATGGAACACAGAAGTCTCAGAAAACGTTTACATGAAGAGGATGATGACAGCAAGTTGGGATCAAGTGTTTCAGAACTACTCTGCAGTATTAGAAGGACTCGAAGAAGGTAACATTTCATATAATGCAGGATTCATCTCATAGCGCTCTCCCGAAAAATATTTGCCTTAGGAAAAAAATTAGTAGGGACAGATGGTGAAGCGAAGGGCTATTCAGGAATAACAAAAGTTATCCATGCGAAACTATGATGTTTGAAATCTTTCCAAGGGCACTCATGATGTATGAGTCTAATGAGTACCGTATCTACCTACTGGCTGCATGCTTAACTTTCCACCAGGAAACTTTAAATTTACAAGGTCAATTTCTTCAATATGTCCAAAAAAAGTGAAGAAATGGCATTTTTACTACAATTTATACACCAGGTCTGGAATCTCTTCTCCACCTTTTTGATTTTTAAATCCATGTTCCCCTTATACATAATAACAGGTCTTTTGGGAACACAGAGAATTATAGCAGAGTGAAACCTCCATTTACATACACTCACATACAAAAGCTAGGCAGTATCGTTTTACGAATGCAAATAGAAAAATTCGAGGAAAAATGCTCAAATTTTATGGTGGGCAAACATGATGTATTCATTTTGTCCCTGCAGTTACATGTAGTTTTACTGAATTTTCTATTATTTGAAGTTAGCCATCAAATGAAAAATTCCTGATAACTATCAAGCACCTAGCAACAAAACTGAGATCCAGACGGGTTCTTCCCTTGGGTGACATATAGACCCAACTATGACAATAGTTAAACTCGAGAAACTCAGGATATACTGACAACGAACAGACTTTAAGTCACGTGGCACTTAAAATGCGACAAGTCCAGACTGGCAAGTTCTGTTGGTATAAGATACACACTAGATTTCAAAGACTTAGAAGAAAGAAGGAATGTAAATGATCTCATTAACATTTGTATATTAAATACATGTCAAAATGATAATATTTGGGATACACTGGGTTAAAAAAAAGTATTATTAATTTCATTTGTTTCTCTTCACTTTTTTAATGTGCTTATTAAGGCAGGGGTCTCCAACCCCCAGGCTGTGAACCAGTACCGGTCTGTGGCCTGTTAGGAACCGGGCCGCACAGCAGGAGGTGAGCGGTGGGTGAGTAAGCGAAGCTTCATCTGTGTTTGCAGCTGCTCCCCAGCGCCAGCATTACCGCCTCAGCTCCGCCTCAGATCCTCAGGCATTAGACTCTCCTAGGAGCTCCGGTCCCTGGTGCCACAAAGGTTGGGGACCGCTGTATTAAGGAATATAACATTACATATGTGGTTCACAGCGCAGCTGTTAACGACTTATGGTGACCAGCTGGCACTGGTTATAAATACGGTCATTCTTCCAGATGTTCTTTCTATGGCAGGTAGAACAGTTCATACAGAAAGTTATAAGAGAAAAATACTGAAATAATAGGCTAGGGCTAATGAGGGAAAGATTAAGAGAAATAATGAAAAAGTTATTTAATGCTTTAGAGGTGTCAACAACAAAAAAGTTGTTCTTTGCTTTTGTTACTTGAACTAATGGTATATTTTAATGAGCATTCAGTTAATATGGAATAAGGACATTCCCCAAATGACTAAAAGCCATTTTCCACTAAACCGACACAAAGGAGACATACTCATGCATGTTGGAACCAGTAAATCTATTTCTTGGACTATGCCTTCATTATTCATATTTCTTGAACCTGACTAAAAGAGTCCCAAGAAATGAAACTGTTTCCGAGTTACTTTGTGCCATCGTGCTATTTTTTTCCGGGGGTTGGAGGAGCAGGTAAAAAGGCGATCCGGTGATGTGCTGGGTGACTAACAAGTTCCAGTGTCGCTGGCCTTCCTCTGACACTGGACGGCTCTCCAGGCTCCTCTGCTCAGGATCTCAGGTGAGAGATCCTGAGCCGTGAGGGCTCAGGCACCAGTGAGGGAGTGTACGTGAGGATGGGATGTGAGACCAGGGCAGGTGTGCGCTCAGGTGGAGAGGGGCCGTGGGCACAGATGCACCCAGAGAGGGATGGGCTACAGGTGAGGACGCCTGTGTTCATCAAGGCAGGGGCGGGCACCACTGTTCCCTCCTGCGTCCTTGGCCTAGCTGGTGTGAGTGCTCTGCTTCCACCGCTGGCCAGTGACAAAAGCGGTGAACGGTGACGGATGCACCCGCGTCTCCGGGGCCTCCGACCACCGCAGAGCCTTCATGACGTGGCTGCACAGTAGCATATTTAAAAACGATGTCAAACAAACGCCATTTAAAATACTTCGACATTTTGAACACGTTTACCTCAGAAAACAAACACATGAAGAAAATTTCTACTAAAAATGCTGTTTCAGATACAGAAAAATTTCTCATTAGGACAGATCAACAGAAAAAAATGAAAACTTGAAGGCTGATAGATTTATACTTATGTAACATTTGAATATTTTTCCGAAATGGAAATAAAAATGGCAGTTAAGGCATGCAGAAGAACAGCAAGATATAAACCAAATGTGACCAAAAAAAAAAAAAAAAAAGAGCCTGCTCTTTAAGGAAGCAAACACACATTTATTCCGAGTACTTGGTAAGAATTCACTCGTTTTTATCTGACAGACAAGCTGAGGACAAAGGTGGGGACAGGTTACCTGGGAATAGGGATATATCGGAGTTTCTTTGATTGAAGATCAGTGACTTCTATATAACCAGCTGTTTGTGGAGGGGTCACACCTGCAAATAAGTCATGACATGAGTCAAGCATCAGCTTACTGCATGATACCGAAACAGGGCCAAAGAGAGAGTGAAGGCTGCTGAGCATGGAGGAAAGTTATCAGTAGCCTGAGGCAGAACTCGAGACCCACTTGACAAGGTCCTGAGCCAATGCCAGTGTCAAGGCCAGACTCCCAGAGTTAGGTTGTCAGGGAAATACAGAGACTGTCAACTAGATGCATATTAGGCCACGATTCTTTATTGTCCGAAAACGACTTCAGTTCTTTGCATTGTCTTTGCTAGCTTCCCAAGACGGGTCAATGTTTTAGCCCTTGAAGTGGAAATGTTTCGTCATCTGAATTCTGTTTTCCTTCTTAGGAAGTCACAACAACAAAGGTATAAGACAGTGGAATCAGCACCCACTTGGTAATCAGACTACCGTGGCGTGAAGTCCCGGCTCCGACTAATTTCCTAATTGTTTTATGCTGGTCAGGTTAGTTATCTTTCTGAGACTTGATTTTGGCATTGGCAAAGCAGGGCTAACGGCAGCCTCATCAGAGCATCACAAGCATTTTGAGTGTTAGGTGAACTTAATAAACACAAAGGACCTAGCTAGTCGTTGCCCGATACCCAGAAGCAGAGAAAGATGGGGTGAGGATGGGGCAGTGAGGCGAGGGCTCTGGGTCACGAAGAATGTGACAACACGGGGCAGGAGGCGGCCCCACAACAATTCAGAGGCTGCTTCCCAGCCGATTCCAGGGCTTTACTGATTGTGTCCTATAGTCCTGGGGACCGCCATCGCCTCACTGTCACCGGCTGCCACCACGGGCTGTCGGGATCTCTGCTTAGTCTTCACAGACAGTATTCTGCATGAGGCCCAGGGAAGTGATATATATGATAACGTGGTGGAGTCACGGAGATGGCTTTGTGAGCCGGGCCTTGCTGGCTCGAAGGCCACCTTCTGCCTGCCACTCTCCATAGCAGCAATTTTTAAAATAGCTCCATTTTACAAAATCTGGGCCACTCATGTCTCTTTAAAATAAAAACAAAAACAAAAAAACTTGCCCTAAACAGAATCCATACTTTTAAAGAGTTTTGTCTATCTATCTATCTTCTCTCCTTACAACTTATGATTTGAATGAGACGTCCATTTATCAAATTTATCAAATGTAGTTAACGAAAAATAAGAAACCTGGCATATTTACTGCATGTTTGCAGTTGAAAGTTTTTGAGTAGGCCGCCTGAAAAACTCTTACTTATCCAGCAAACGTGGTCGAGCTCACCGTGCACCAGGAACTACAGGAAGCACTGGGGACAGAGGGGAAATGGATGAGGAGCCTGCAGCGTAAAGAAGAAAGTTCTTAAAGATAATGGAAAGCAAAACAAACTGTGGGCTCCTGGGGACTTAGAATTCCAGGGTGAGAAGCACAGGCCGGGGGCCAGGTATGGGCTGCAGAGCTAAGTAAGGAGTAGGCCCAGGGGGGAAAGGGGAGGGAAGGGTGAGGTACAGGGACAGCAGAGAGTACGAGGAGTTACTAATGTAACCTGACCCCCCAGCTGGATGGGCTGTCCCCAGAGGGCCATTTATACAAAACGAATTTGCTTATCCTAAGTCATGAGCTGCCTGCGTTGGCAATGCTGCCTGGGGTATAAGGTCGATCTTGGATAAAGTTTTGCACCATATGTCATTTTGACAGTTCCTGCTGCTCAGACCTAGCTGAAGTAGATGGAATTATTTATAGACTCAGGCTCTTTGTCAGAAGTGACCAGTTATTGAAGCAGGTGGGCCGGCGGGAGCCGCTTCGCTTTTCGGCTTGCCACTTACAGGTATTTTTTTCATAAGTAGTGGTATTAAGCCGAGCCGATGCCATCAGCACTTTTAGACTGCTCGTGAAAGCAAAGGACAACTTACTTTAAAATATCTTTTTTCCTACATTTTCCTTTCCTTTCTCTGTGCAAATTAATTCTATAGCATAAAGAGTGTAAAAAAATTCAGTAATGGCCGTGTCTATTTCAAGAAGGAGAAAGCAAGAATTTTACATGAGAATTTTATGAAAAATATTTGCACGTATCAGAAAAGGCCGTTTGTGGTTATAAAGTACTTCAAAAAAATACCAAGGGTGGCGGTAGTGGTGACGGTAAGCCCTTGAAAAACAATCAGAATTAACATTTACTGATTTGAAAATAAAGCAGCTCGGAATATAGGATTGAATTCAGGAAGTGGAAACTGTGGCCAGATTTTCTTCCAAACTCAGCCAAACCCTTGTCTATCCATTTTAAACGTTTCGACACCGTAGAGAGGATGGAGGCTCCGTAAATTTCCATTACATTTATAATCCAGGTGGATTTCAAAGCCAGGTGTAAACTATACTTAGGAATTAGTTCCCAACAATGAAAGGGAAAAGCAGTGTTCACCACACAGTTTTCAAGAGCAGTGGGGACGGCCAGCAGGAGGAGAGGTCAAAACTGTCAGGCAAAACCGCCAAGAACGTTTTCTGCGGGAAGATGAAGTCATATAAAAAAGCCCACTCCTCCTCGCTTTAACGTGCACCTGTTAAGTACTAGCTAACGCCCTTCGTGGTTCACACCTTAAAAGAGTGGCGTGTGCCCTGCGTGAATGCCCAGACCAAAACTTTGAATTTACTCAGCGTTCAAAAACCAGTGTGCCGCTTTCGATCAAGGGTCGTTATTTTGTGTTTAAAGAGCTGAGGTCTATGACTAAAGAAAAAAGAAGCTAACGCTTAACTGGAAGAAAAATTATCGGAAGAAAGTAGTAAATGTCTCCCCATGTGCATTGAACGAAAGTTACACCACCGTCAAGCCACCAGGAGAGTCGCCTTTATGGTTTCTAGCGATTTCTTTAATAAAAGGCTGATATGTGTAAATTGTGTACTACAGCAGTGGAAAGCAATGAGGTGGAGCTACTAGTTCCTGACTAATCAGATTCTATTTACTTTAAAAAACTGGATTTCGTCAGAGGTCTCCGTGCAGAGAGATTAAAGAGTCACGCGGGCCGAAAGGAAAAGCAGCCAGCCCGGGACTCTGCTCAGCCCTGGCGTCCTGCTCCAGGGGACACTTTCACCTCTCCTGAGCTGTTTCTTTGGTATTCACCTGCCTTCTCATGGTGCCACGTTCTAGTTTCAGGCATTATTTACTGACCTCCCACCAGGTACGATGGGAGTTTATTTACTCTTTTTCATACGTCGCTCTCCCTGTCCAAATCCTCAGTTTTCTCATCCGCAATATACTGATACAATGACTTTGGTTAGGTTAACATCCAGGGCTTATATTAATATGATTATACAAATGCTATTCACAGCTGAGGTATGAAACACAAAAAACTTCTACAAAGAGAAGAGGTGGACGCAGAGCACCAGGACCTCTCTTAAGCTGTTGGATCTACAACTTTGGGAAACAATTTAGTAATGTCACTCTTAGATACGTATCCTACAGACTTTCAACATGTACACGAGAAGACAGGCACAAGACTAAAAATAGCCCGCTATTTTTAATAGTAAAAAATTGGAAAGGACATAAATACGCATCAATAAAGAACAGATGTATAAATTGTGGTATTGCAGCAGTGAAAATCAATGAGGTACAGTGATCAGTATGGATGATGACGAAGATCCTCTTCTTGACCAAACTCTGGTCGAGATTTTCTGAATCCTCTTCCCAACTAGACCCCGAGTTTTGGGCTTCTGTGTTTATCCATGTAATGCTAAGTCAGCTTGACCAACATCCCCTCTCCTCGAGATCTGATTGGGTTTCTGATCCTCCACTACCTCCCAGGTGATTGATGTCTGTTCGCCTCGGCCGGCCTTCAGCAAGAATCCTGATCCTCCACTAGCTCCCAGGTGATGTCTGTTCGCCTCGGCCGGCCTTCAGCAAGAATCCTGTTAGGCTGATTTAGGCACAATTTTCCCGTTCCTCTGATGTTCTCTTAGTAATTTTCCACCCACTGATCCCGACCAACAAAGTTGGAGGGTCTATACTGCTTGATTTTAAGACTTAACTATAAAGTATAAAGATAGAAAGACATTAAGAGAGTGTGGTGTTAGTGAAGGGACAGACACATAGATCGATGGAACAGAACAGTGAATCCCAAAATAGGCCCACGCATATGCGGTCAGTTGATTTTCAGCAGAGGTCCAAATAATTCAATGGAGAAAAGACAGCCTTTTCAGCAAACGGTGCCCAAATAATTGAATATCCCCATGTGAAACCATGAGCCTCTTCTATCATAAAAATCATTTTAAGGAAATGGTGATTTATGTGGAAAGAACTGATTCTAAATACTATCATATCACCAGGACTTTTCAAACCCAGTGACAAGTTATAATACATTTGGCATTATCTTCATGAAGTCCACACTAACGTGATGAATGTGAACACAGGACAACATATTACTACCACTATGATGTAAATAATAATCAGCAGCTCAATAATTGAAGTTTTTCATAATTATCCATTATAATGGAGGCCAGTGTGCTCCAGTAAGATCGCTCTGGGCTAGGGACTGCAAGGCCTTGGTGCAAACCTGGGCTCTGCCGGCTACTGGTCAGGTGACCCTCGGCAAGTTATTTTACCCTCTGGGTCAGTTTTCCTGCACATACATCAGAGAGATCATTGACGATAAAATGGGGATTTGAAGATTAAATAAGTTTATATGAGGAAAAGTGATCGGCACAGGGACTGGCATGTTTATGCGGTGCTGTGCATTGGTTTCAAACCTACTCGTTTGTGACTTAAGTGAAGTTGTTTTAATCCACCTGTTTATGGCAAAGACAAAATAAAAGTTGTTTTCAGAAATGAAGTTGTTTTGATATAAGAATGAAGTAAGCTGAGTCGGGATGTCATCGTCTCATGTGTTACTGATAAGCACTCAGTAGTCCAGCTGCCGCGGGGCCCTGCTGGGGGCTTACCACGTAAAACTGCAGAGAAGCAGCAATGGCCAGGGGACATGTAGACTACAAATACCAAGGGTTTGTGAGGACCCAGGCAAGGGTGTCTGGTCCGGGCAAGGCGGCCCCTGCTGATCTAAACAGACCTCCGGAGGCCTCCGGAGCATCGGCTCCTGCCCTGGTAAAGGCCACTCTCTAACCAGTGGCTGCCTATCGTGCCTGCCAACACTGGTGCCCCGTTCCCTAGCAACGTGCTCTAGCAACAAGGGACTTCTGTTTTTGCGCTGGCGGCTGGAAGTCAGCTCCAGGTGGGATAAGCAGTCTCGGCTAGAAAAGGCGCACGTTTACTAAATTTGGACTTTATTTCTCTCATCTCCTTTTGCCCAAAA